ACAAGTACACTTTGTATGTTTTCAGTTGTGTGACTTGAGGAGGCCCTTTGGGTTGCCATCCATCTAAGTGCCAGGAAGGTGAGATCACCAGGGCAACCAGTAAATACAATTGGATTTTTGTTACATTTTTATCTTAGGTGAGCTGCAAAGCAGTCTAGTCATTCATTTTAAATATTTTAAAATAAATTAGACCAAACTTTCAGTTGTAATAATAAGCTTCTTGCTTTAGAATTACTTTATTCTAAGTGTTTTATGCAATCAGTATATAAATGTGGGTATTGTTACTCTATTTGATAATAAAAATGTATGTAGTGACTGACAAATGTTTTGAAGTCAAAGCCATTATGAATAAAAAAATAAGATTTTAAAAATTTGTTAATGATAGTTATATATCATATATTTGGAAATAAATATGTATGCTTTATATCAGTGTTTAAGTCTGCTTTTTAACCTTACTTAGAAAAATATAGAAAATAGTAACTGCATGGGAATGTTGAATATGTACTTATGACATACTCAAGTAGGATTTTTTAAAAAACTATAGTACTGTTGTCGGATAAAACAAAAAGTTTGATGTTTATAACTACTAATTTTCTGTATCAGTCATCATCATTGTCATCTTGTACAGAGCATTCAGATGATTGTTCAAAAACCAACTAATTCTTTCTTTTATTACTAAATTGCTGCTACACAAGGAAAGGTCACATGGTAGAGTGGCATTCTGCCAGTGTATGACAACTCAGTGATTGCGATTTTTCAACCGTATTATTTTGAGGACACTGTGGTAATCAAGAACTATCCATAACTAATGTATAAATAACTGCTTGCTTATCTCTACAATAATCCAGCTCAAATTATATATACACAGCAAAAAGCTTAGGATAGAAGGTAGGAAATTACTATTTAAGGATGTATTTACATTAGATTTTGTATATAGAAATTTATAATAAAAACTTGTGTATATAGATATATATATATACATTTGAATTTTCTTAACAACTTTTGTAACCTACTACTTTGTGGCTATCATTTGGTACTAACATGACCTTTACTTTCTGAAGCTACTTTTTACTTTTTAAAAAATAATTTCCTTTTTTCATTGTTGTTCATCTAGAAATTATTGGGTATAAGTGACTTTTTTTTAGTTAGACACTTTTGTTTCTATAAATATGACACTAAAATGAAAAGCTGACCACTAAACACCTTTCTATTAAAAAATTATATAGGATAGCTATGCTTAAAATGTTAGAAAGGATAAAATTTTCAGCATAGTTTGCATACATTATTCCTTTTGTTGTTGTTCTTTTTTGCGGGGTCTAATCACTTATGGTGGTATTTCCAGTCAAAATTTTGCCATTCAAGTTTTATTTCTTGAATTACTAGCATATCCGTGATATTTTTAAATTGTATGATATGTTTTATCACTACTCTAAAAAATAAATGAAAAGGAATGACAGCACAAAAAATTGTTTCAAAATATATGTCAAAGGTTGAAAAGGTTTTAAAGCCTTGACTCATTTAGGTGTGTATTTGTATACATATACATATATTGTGCAAACACATGCATATACATTTCTAAACAAAAGCTATACATTCAGTTTAAGAATTGATATTTAGTTTGGTGATTTAATTTATTAAAATCATTGATAGAGTATAGTTATAAAAAACATACTTTTTGTCATCAACAGTTGATTTTCTTAGAAGATGGTAAACTGATCAACTAAACAGCTTGGTTAGAAAAAGAGTCTCCTTAACAAAATCATAATGTAGGCATAAAATGTAGGTTTATAAGAAAATATCTCCTAATCATTGCCTTTTGTTGTTGCTACTGTTGTGTGTATGGGTGGTTGTTTCTGTTACCTATTTTGATTTCACTAAGTCCATGTTCTACAAGATTGTTGAGGTCTTTTGGGCTTATAAAGTTGTTTCTCTACAAATTTGGTGTGTAAAAATTTAGACTTAGGTTTCTTGAGTTTTGTTCATTTTTAAATTATCTTTTTTGAATATTAAAAGTGAGTGCTAAGTGGTTATATAAAAGATAGCAACAGATTTCAGAAATACGTAACTACAATAAGGGCTTCATAAAAGCAGTTCCTATTAAATTGTTTTTTATCATATTATCAAAGTTCAAAATGTTCTTTTAAAATTAGGTATTCTTGATGAGCTTTACTGATTTTGACCACTACTTTTTATTTTTACAGTTTAGCCGTGTTATGACTCTTTGTGACATCTTGGTGCCCCAAACTTCTAACCTGAAAAGAAAAAAGGAGAGAGAAAACTTTGTTACTGGCTTTCTGACAATGGCAGGGAGTGTGTTAAACCAGTGTAAAATTCAATTAAACTGTCTAGCCAGGTTTTTGAAGCTGAAATGCAGACCCTTTCTGTTAAGCTTCTTATTTTCCTGTGACCGACACCAGTGGATGCTGGGTTATGCCAAAACCAACAGGCTGTAAAGTACCTTGTTTCATGCTCCCAGCTGATCAATATTTTTATTTTCCAGGCTTGCCCAGAAATCTGGAGGCAGTATCACCTAACGGTGAGTAGAAACACCTTTTTTATTTTCCCCAAGACCCAGCCTATTCACCCTTCTCTGAACTGCTGACCATAAAATATAGACAAGCATCTTTCTGCTGGAAGATAATAAACATCTGAAGAGTTTTTGTACTGAGAAAGCAATAATGTACTTTTTCTCTTCTCTCCTGCCTACTACCCTATCCTTTAGCTTTCTGTTCTTAAAAGATTTTGATTGATTTTTTATTACTTATATCATTTAATGATTACATCATAGTATCTCTCAGTCTTCCTTGACTATACCTTATTGGGGAGGAGGAATATAATAATCATCTAGTGTTTTGGGGGGTTTTTTTGTTTGTTTTGGTACTGGGGATTGAACTTGGGTCCTTACACTTGTAGGGCAGGCGGCGAAACCACTGAGCTAAATCCCCGGCCCCTAATCTAGTGTTTTTAAAATATTGTATCATTTAGAGTCCACAAGCATATAGTCTACAGTATCTCTTTTCATTTTTCTCTTTACTGAAATATTTACCCATTTTTTACATGAAGCTAGAAAAAGCTTAGTATAACTTTCATATAACACAACTGTCCTATCTTTAAGCCCTTCTTGATGTATTTGAATTGTATAAACATTTTCTTAATACCAAATTATTCAGTTCTCTGGTTTCCTTTTATGATTTTAGTTTAATTACAAAGTATTAAATAATTTCAATAATTCACTAGAGCCCTGCTAGTCATTTTCACTGTATAAAATGTGTTGTGCTGAGACAGTTTTCTTTTATACAGTATATATTAATTAATAGCTGTTAAAAGCTTAACATGGTAAAAAGTTTTTATATATAGAAAGGTCATTAAAAAAGGAGAAAAGACGAAGTTTTTACAAAACATGTCTTTCTTCTTACTCCTCTCCTCTTATAGAAATAAAAAGTAAACCACCAGGTAGACTCATACCACCATTCTGTCACAGCCCCCAAAATCCAGGAATAATAGCAGGTGGTTTATTTTCACATTTTGTTATCACCTTTTAATTTATTTAAAGATCTTCAGTAGAAAGCCATAATTCCTCAACTATGCCTCAGATTCCAAATCAAGGTTTGTTAAAAGCTTCAGTGTTATTTCAAAAGATATATACATATCTATATATGTTACAGATGTACTTCATCAGAATATATTATGTTTGTGCTTATATAGCAGTTTTTTATCCTAACATAATGCAGTGAAATCCTTACAGTTTAAATTTGATCTGATCATATCTTATACTTTTCAAGATCACAGAGCTACTCTCTGTAACCATATACCAGTATTTGTTTGTCATTATCTTTTAAATAGTGTGTTAGTAGATTTGACAATGCATTTCTTTTAGCTTTCTTCCTAATCTAGAGAATTTTGATTTTGAAAATCTGAAGTATAAGAAGTACCACTCTTTTCATTATTTGCAATGTTCTTTTATATAACTATCATTGAAGGGTAAAACTTGGTTTCAGGTATAACAGTAGAAATATTTAAAGCTTTTCAGAACATTATAAAGAGAAAATTTGGGGTAAAATGAAAACAAAATGAATTTGCCTTTTGTAGAATATATTTTATAATATTTTGTGGGCATAACAAATTGTTTCAAAACTTCATTTCTCCTAATATGGAATCCTGGTTAATTTTTCAAAATAACATTGAAATAATTAACACAGTTTATAATTATCGAGAGTTAATTAATAATGAATTTATTATGCAGGTATAAATGTAACATTCATGTGCTTATAGATATGTGTCCGTACTTACTAGTCCATCTAAAATAAAAGTTAAATAATTAAATTACTTTAGCACTATCTGGGCAATATCTAAATGTATGCATTTAAGCAATATTCAATCTTGAGTAAAAGCAATATGCGTGCTGATTTTAGTCATCTTCAGCTCTTTTATTAGGCGATGGACTGCCATCTATTGACTCATGGTAGCCCTCACACGTGAATATGGCATCAGTCAGAGCAATGACCAAGTAAGGAATTAGTTTAGAATTGCTACCATATATTCACTTAATGTGCTTAAAACTCTGGAACTTTCTACTTAATAATTTATTTTTCTAAACAAAAAGTATCTATTTCTTATTCCAATTGAATTTTTGAGGGGAGGAATTTGATTAATGTATCCAGTTTGGAGATTTTCTCATTTGAGAGCTTTTCAATTGCTTTTGTCTGCTTCTCAACCAGTAAGATTAGAATGACATTTACAGAACAACTTCAATTTTAGCAACTACAAATTAAGATCTGTCTAGGAATCGGTTTTTTTTAAGTTATTTAAGTTAAACTATTATTTTTCAAATCTACAAAAAAGATGAAGTTAACTAATATAAATGAACTTATAAAATCTTCCTAATGAAAAATTCCTGAAAACATGTTCTGAAGGAGAAAGTTTTAGAAGTGCTCACTTTTCAGCAGTTTCATTAGATAAAAATGAAGTCTCTTTAACAACTTGAATCTGAACAGAATAGCTTTTACCAAGTTTGACTTCACTACATTAGTAAAAACTAGGACCTCATTTTAAAGGGTCTATGCTAAAATTACTCCCTACACACACACCCCATGACAACTATATGATTATGCTATTTTATTTATATGCTCTAATAATTAGACTACAAAATCATATCATGTACTTTAATGTTTAATTGTTGATCTGGAAATGTATGTGGGAAAAAGAAAAAAAAGTATTTTTATTTAGCAATTTAACAGTTAATATTTTTGCTTCCTAAAAAAAGTTTAGAAACTTTTTTAAATCTTTTAATACTATAGTCCTATTCTTGTATTTTAATTTCCACTTTATTTTCAGATTATTTTGCAGAACCTGACTTTGAATGTTCTTTTTTCCTTTCACATGATTCATTCAATATAAAAATTACCCTGTTTAACTATTCAAGAAGGAAAGTCCCTTCCCCCACCCCTTGTCACTTCTAGTCTCATTTATATTAAAAATGTAGGCCAATATGGCCACCAGCAGAGTTTTACATCCAACAGAATTTAGTAGAGTCTGTAATTTGACATGTATTAGACATTTTGTTAATCTTGTTTTTAATCTACTCACTTTAAAAAGTAACAAGTAGTTTGTATTTTGGAGGCTGTATGTGTTAAGAACCAAAAAGGACAATGCATCTTTTATGTTTAATTTTGGTGCTTGGATTTCTTTGTGTGTATTGCTAAAATGAATTACAACCATATTTGCTTTTATTGTAACTATAAAGCTTTAAAGAGGAAGCAACTGTAACTTTTTTGGAAGAATTAATTTTAAATGTTCCCTTATTCATAATATTTGATATGCTTAGAATTCATATTTTAAAAGTCAATATTTATTTTCAGGAGAAAGGGAAAGAGTAGAGAACTGAGTTTCCTTGTGTTCGTTTCTGGCCTAGGAGAAGCTTCTGACCAGAGTTTACTAGTAAGCAATACTAGTCTTAGCTGAACCAGTTGAATGGCAGAGTATGTCTTATGGACCATAGTTAACAATATTCCATTTCATTCTGACACTCAGTTTTCTGTTCTTGCCTGGAAACATCAATTTAGAAATGTATTTTCTGAGTTTTCACAGTATGAGGATGTTTTCACAGTATGAGTTTTACACTAAATGAGAATTTTATCCTCTAAAGAATTCTATGCCATACCATAGAGTGGGTAACCCTTAAATGTCATCACGTTGGTATTTAACTTTAGAACTATTTTATAGTCCAAAAGGAAGGAATAAGAAAGTAGAGTTAGGTTCTAATGCCATAGCTGTACTAAAATCTGGGATTGTAATGTAAGATAAGGTAGATAATAATTTTCTAACTGCCTTCTGCTAAAATGGATTTTTTAAAAAATAAAATGAGAAGTAGAGTTTTAAAAAGTCAGCCCAGAATCTTTTCTTTTCATGGAAAAAACACTTCTCTCCTTTAATTGAATAAATGAAAAAATATATATATATATAATCTTAGATATTTTTCTGAGAGCTCCTTGGCTACATAAGCAGACCTATAAAACCCACAAGAACTTTATCCACATAGTATATATCAATTTGAAAGGTCATTCTTTTATCATGTGTTTCTGTGTGAATGTTTGTAAGCAAGCAAGCAAGCATGTGTGTGTGTGTGTGTGTGTGTGTAAGAAAACAAAACTATTTTCTTATACACACACAGATCAAGGGAGCAAGGAGGTAGAAGATGGAAAAAATAGTAATTAAGATGAGTTATGTACACATACCAGCTCCTCAGGATAAATGTAATCATTATATACCTCAAGCATGCACAAACAAAAAAATTTTTTAAATAAAATGTTAGCTCCAGAATAGAGTAAGGCCTAGTTCTTGCTCTATTTTGGAATTTTTCTTTTACCATTTTTGAGTCCTGATAGGCAGGTTATCATAAACTAACATTTTTAAAATTCCTATTGGAATGTCTTAGTTTGATAGTTCCATTCACTTTGGCAACGTGAGAACCAAGAATACCTTGTTCTCACTGTATCTGGTATTACTGTTTCAATGTTTTGGTTGACCAAGTGTTTCTTTTAAGACATTATATCTCTCTCAAATTTTCAGTGATTTAATTTTCATTAAAATTTTCCTTAATACCAAAATACTAGGGTAAATATGATTGTGCTCTTTTGATTTAGAAGGCATGTGACTCTTTTGTAGTACTTCAGGGCCATTTTTTCATGATAGCACTACAAAATAAATCAGATTGCTTTATCTTTCGGGTGACTTGGTGTCTAAATAACAAGATTTTTTTTTTTTCCTATAGTGCTGGGGATTGAACCCAGGACCTCGTGCATGCTAAACACAGGCTCTGCCCCTGAGATATCCCTCAGCCCCAACTAGAATTTTTTGAATCATCATGATGACTTAGTTGCTAATACTCCATCTGTGATAAAAGAGAGAGAAAATACATTTGGACAGTGACCAAATTTTTAAAAGATTTTTCAAGTGGAATGTTTATGTGAATAGTTTTATACTTATTCTATATATTTACTTTGTTCATAATGTCAGAATTATTCTAGTAATTTGTTT